TGAATGATGTACTTCAACAGAAAAGGTCAGAACTAATCAACAGGAAAGGTGTAGTGTTTCACCAAGACAACGCGAGACCTCACACAAGTTTGCTCACTCGCCAAAAACTTTTACAGCTTGAATGGGATACAATGCTACACCCACCATATTCTCCAGACCTGGCACCATTGGATTATTATTTGTTCCGGTCACTCCAAAATTTTTTAGACGGTAAAACCTTCACCTCAAATGAGGAGGTCAAAAACCTCCTCGATCAGTTTTTTGCCAGCAAAGACCAAAAATTTTATGAGCGTGGAATTATGGTACTAGCAGAAAGATGGCAAAAGGTGTTGGACCAGAACGGTCAATATATAATTTAATACAGTATTTGTTTATTATACGAAAATTGTCTTTCATTTCCACAAAAAGAAAACGAAATGACTTTCCGAATAACCCTATAGATAATACAAGCGCGCCAGAAATAAGTTAAGGAGGTGAAGCGGCTGACCGTTTTTACTCCCCCTAACGGTGTAAAGGAAAATTTTGACAAATAGTTTATATAAACATTGAAGTAATGTAAGTCCAGTCCATCAAATTCTGTATTTCTCTCCGGCGACATAAAAAGGAAAAATGCCGACAAAATAATGATGTGTAATTTCTATATGTTCGATAACCATCTTGCCTTATCTATACAATATAAGATGAGTCAATAATACTATTTCGATTCCTGGTTACACATCGTTATCGTCAATTGCGAGTCCATTGATTCGTAGTCTTTCGGAAGGAAACCTGACATCATAATAACCAATGGAGTAAAATTACGAGAAAGTAAATTGATATGGAACCCAGGGCACTAATGTGTCCGGAAAATTTCCAATATCGCAAGAATTTTAGGAGACACGACGAGAGAAAGAAATAAATAAGGAGTGGGAAAAAGAGGGAAGGTACGCGAACGAATGTGTTTTGGATCGGGAAGTCATTTCCGGCCTTTTATTTGGAAATTTCCACGACTTCTATTATTTATTCCCGTATTGCGAAATGTATGGGAACATACTGCAAATATGCGACAAAATAAAAATTGTCTTGTCTTTTATTGGCTAGAGAATATAGTAGATAAATAACTAATTGTCGACAAAACTTGATTTGGTAAAGCTGTTAAACATTTAGGAGCAAATAAGTACTAAATTATAAATTCTAACAAGAGATAGTGTTAGAGAACAGTACTAGGAATGAAACTAGCTGATTAACTGGCCAATATAAGCAGTAATTACTGTGCTACAGAAGCCTCAGCTTCATGAATATTCCCATTGTTTATTGTTCGCTTAACGCGATTTATCTTTAACGCTGGTGTATAGATAAACTGACACAGTAAACCTGGAAAGCACTGAAATATGCTCCAATTTAGAGGGGCTCTAAACACTGAAATAATTTGCGCCCTTAGCTTCTTTTTTTTGGATTTTGTATTGTAGGTAAATAATTTTTTAACATTAATTAATTTGAGGTAATTTCTAGTAAATGAAAATTAAACGAATTTTCACATTAATATTAAATCTTAGCACTACGTCTAATCAGTGATCACTATTCCGAAATTTTAACATCTGGAGGCATTGTAGAGTGAAATTCTTAATAGCACTACAACGAAGGGGATGTGGAAAGTATGCACAAAAAGTACCCCGGTTAACGAGACGTCAATGGTTGAGAACAGTTAACAGTTTTGCAACCGCTTTACCTTCCTACTCTTTCGTTATCGCGAACGTCAACTAACGAAACACTCATACCTATTCGTGACCTTCGCAACAGCTGGTACGTGGACAGGTCAATTGCACTCAATGATCGGCATCAATGTATAACCTAATAAGTTCGTTTCGTCGTTGTTGCCGCTGTCACCTCTCGTAACTTAATGGTCAGAGTGTTGGTGCGTAAACCCAAAGGTCTCCCGGCGAGGGTGCGAGGGTGTAACCATTTGAGATGATTTATGTCGTGGATAAAAATTAAATGATTCTTCACATTTTGGGTTTAAAGATTATTTCTATATGAAAGACTTTTGTTGCATCTCGTTGCATTCAAAACCTTTTGTAAGCGTTTCTTTCTTAGCGCCTTTTATTTGTTAGAAATTTCTCGTAGCAAATCAAGAATGTTATTGAATGATGTGTCACAACCAAGTAAAAGTTGACGACATTTTTGCGTTGGAAATAAATATGAAGTACCTATATAACACATTTTGGAAAGGGAATTATTATGAAATACCTGCCGTTATTACATCTACATACATATTACCTCATGCCACTGCCGAATTTATAATGGAAAATGAAATACTGTTCCTGTTTTTGTGTTTATTTTTAGTTACGCTTTCAGTGATACCGTGGAAAGCAAAAAATATTTGCTTTAAATGATGAAATTTTTTGGATTACTTTAGTAATTTGGAGGAGATCCAGCTACAGAAAAACTGATACGTGTTAGACATGTCAAGTTACAACAACTGTTGCTAACGCAGAGTTTCTATATTGTGAATAGACCTAAAAGAATATCAAAAATTAATTAATGTAGATAACTAAAACGGCCAAAATTAAAACGATAAATTCTAACAAAAACTTTAATATATAAAAATTCAATAAATAGAAAAGTCAGAGCCGGTAGGGTAATAAGCTTTTAGCACTTGTCTTTTATACAAACATTTTACTGTGATACGCAAGTTTAACCGCGTAATTAATCGGATTCTAACCAAGAAGAAGCGTACAAACTTAAACTACATGATTTGCGATGTCATTAGGAAGAGAAAAAAAAAGAAAAAGTGTAAGATGGTGCTGGCGCGTAACCTTCATTAACGGAGTTCACATAAAGTTCTCGCGGTCGATTTATAGAGGCAAATTGCAGATACGATGCCTAGCTCTTCTTCGTATAAGACCGTTCTTTACTGTGCAAAAGTTAGGAAAGTTTAATTCAAGACGAGCAAACGTGTTACTCGTTCCATTGAATGGAGTGCAATTTTATAGACGCAGCCAGAACTATTATTATTATACTTGTCGAGTTTGTTGTGGCAGTTTCATCATTCAACGGCGTAATATCGAAGGTTGCAGAGTTTCCAATAGTTTCGTGTTATATGTCCTTTTTATAATACACCGTAAAACCTTTTCACTTCTTCTTTGTCGAATTAGGGCGTGTCTGTTTGCGGGCAATAAAACTCTAAAAGGATAAAAGGGAATACCAAAATCTCATACAGTTTCTAGACATACGTCGACCATTCGTCGTCAGGAATGCCTGAAGATTACACTGGGTTTATCGAGTGTAAATAATTTTTAAAATGCATTTCCGTGTTTAACAATAAGCGAGGAGAAATGAGAAAATGGTTTATGCATGATGATGCACTACTGCATTTTGGTGTGCTTGTTCGTGTGTTTAACAGCAACTGAACTGATCGAAGTGGATCTCATTTAATATGGCTTGCTCCATCCTCCAACTCAAACTCTTGGATCATTATCTATAGAGTCATCTGAAGTCACACTATGTTCATACTCCAGTGAAAAACGTGGAAGATTCAATGGGAAATCGGATAATCTCAGGATGTAATTTAATATTCAGAAAATTTTAGGGTTCGGTGGTGTAGAGAGGACTAGATGGATTCGATGGTGGTGGTAGTCATTTTAAACAATTCTTACAGATTAAGAAGTTGTACGGATGCGAAACATGGACAGTGGGCGCAGCGGAGAAGAGGTATTAGAAAGAGTAAGAGAACAGAGGACTCTATGGAAGTCAATCAGGAATAGGTGAGATAGGTTGGTAGGACACCTTCTCAGGCATGAAGGTCTAGTCAGAGACATATTAGAGGCAAAAACGGAAGTTAAGAGCGGTAGAGGTAGACCTAGATTAGATTACCATATTGTTCGCAAATAGTTAAGGATATGGGTTGCTCTAGCTTTAGGGAAATGCGAAGATCAGGGCAGGATAGGAAAGACTGGAGGTACTTGTCCAACCAGACTTACGATGATGATGAAAAAGCTTTAGATAATAAGAGATTGCTATTGTGGAAAATCACTTGACACCCTGTATTTTCAGAACAAAGCAGTTTTCCAAAAATCATCATATTCTCAGAGTAGCACAGGAAGTAACTCTTTCAAGTTTTATCATACGTTTTTAATAAACACCCTGTATTTCAAGGTGTGAGTAGCTGTGTCTCGTAAATCCATTTCCTCTCTTTTTGATTGTGAAGTATTCAATTTGTCTTTGTAGTTTTTGTCTCTTCAAGGATTTAATCTAATCCGGTGTTGTAAATCGTGTAAAAAAGGCAAGGCGAAAGACGGTTAAGCAAAAATGCTAACATACGCAAACGTTGGAGAGAACTCGAACGTCTGATAAATAGTCCCAAGTCCCTACGTGAGTAGCTCCTTGTGCGAAGCATGTGGAAGTGAATTGTTCTATCACTTTAAAAGCCATTTCGTCGGGAGCCTTAACGCCGGATAGTAGTGGCAGAGAGAGAGTATTACGGCAACGATGCAAGAACATCTCGGAGATGCTATGTCTACATCCATATTTAAAGGGCGATGAAAGAATATGCCATGCCTCGGACGTCCTGGCCGTCGTAGCTACTAACATTTACGTAATTGCTTGTTTACATGATCGCCGTTTGCTGAGCTAAGCTGTAAACTTATGACCAACGAGCAGATATGATGGAAATACTGGTATCTCGCGTAAAAACAAAGAAGGATAATGGTTTTTTAATGCTGCAGGATTTAGAAAGGACAACGTTCTGCTTTTAGCGAACTTGCTTTGCATTTTAAAAGATTAAGACTTAATTTCACCTGTCCAAACTAAAAGAGACGAGGAAAAAAATAATGAAAATACTTCGGGATAAACTGGGAATTGAACTTAAAGAAAAAATCCAACTGGTTTTCTCAAACTTTATTTTATATTAAGAAAAAATAACTAAATTATTAATAGATTACAATTTTACTAATATTAAACCCAGTTTTACACCTGCTACTTTATTTTGGTAACTTAAATTATTATAAAATGGACTACGAAATATTGAGATTCATCAGTGGTACGTTACTGTCTGTTTGGCTGTTTCTTTGGTCCTTGAAACATCCTGAGAATTCTTTTAATAAAAGACGTTTCAGTCTCCGACGTGGACTTTTTGCTGTCGTCCTCCTGTTTTCTGTATGTAATCAGCCTTACAGCCTTGCTCTCGGTGCATCCCTGGGAAACTTTGTCCCAGATGTAACCCCACCTGCAGACACATCTGAACGAACCTGCAAGAACCGGCGAATGTAAAGCCATTATTTCAGGTAGGAAGAGACAGAGGAAGTCGAGTAAACTAGATTCCAAAACGTCGATTCCGGATGCGACCGCTTCACTTCAATGCATCCAACTTGGATTTGCAAACGGATGGATTGAGCAACTTTAATTTTATTACCTACACATAGACACTTTCTGTAAAATAGGAGGGTCATTTCTTATTGAATAATTAATGGCTTGTACTTTTCTGGTCATCAGTTACATATTAAATACCTAAACGTAAGAAAGATGGACAGTGGGCGCGGTGGAAAAGAAGCGTTCGAAATGTTGTGTTACCGGCGAATGATGAGGATATCGTGGATAGAGAAGATTAGAAATGAAGAGGAATTAGAAAGAATAGGAGAACAAAGGACTCTATGGAGGTTAATAAGGAATAGGCGAGATAGGTTAGTAGGACACCTTCCCGAGATAAAAAAGTTGAGTCCCTCAGAGTCTCCGAAAGCGAGACTCGAGTCTCCTTGTCTCATCGAGTCTCTCTGGTGTCGCTGAGAGAGAAACTGTCAAAAAACTGTTTAGCGTCTCTGAACGAGAGACTCGAGTCGCTCATAGAGAGATCCTCATTTCGAATCCAGTCTCTGAACGAAAGACACTCGAATCTCTCAATAAGTGGTGTCTCGATAGACATGGATAAAATTTTCTAAGTTCAACATATTTCATAAATCCGAGTCTTTCTACGACAGACTCGAGTCTCTCAATTTTTCAGTTTTATTCATTCAGTCTCTCTGTGAGGGACTCGAATCTCTAAATTAACAATTTTATCGTTCGAGTCTCTCATACAGAGACTGTGAGAGATCCATAAAAACACCTAGGCAGTAACGGAGAGACTGTGAGAGACGTTCTCAGAGACGCTGGAAGACTCTGAAAGACTCTGAAACACTCTGAGAGACTGGAGAGAGACTGAAAATTTTTGTCTAGGGTTCTCAGGCATGAAGGTCTAGTCAGAGACATATTAGAGGCAGAAACGGAAGTTAGGAGGGGTAGAGTAGCGTAGACCTAGATTAGATTACTGTTCGCAAATAGTTAAGGATGTGGGATGTTCCAGTTTTAGGGAAATGGGAAGATTAGCTTAAAATAGGAAAGAGTGGAGGTGCATGTCCAACTAGTCTTAGGACTGACGACCTTATGATGATGACTTAAACATATATGATCACTATTTAAATTTACATTATGGTCAGTATCCATTGATAGCAAAGGTTTAAATATTAAGCGTCAGTGATCAGTGATAAGTAGGGATTAAAGCACTGATCGTCTGAATTTAAATATTGGAAATTTAACTTTTTGTCATAAACGATGTACGTTGCATTTTTGTTAAGGTTTTGGTAAAGGATTATTAAGTTTAAAATTGAACTTCCAAAATCTTTACAAGTGGTCGTTGGTTAGGCACCTAGTATTATCGAGGCGTTGCAGGATTTAAGGAGCGGTGCACTTACCGACCAAGTTTATACATTCCTGTGTTCCGAGGCTGCAATTGTGCAACCCTAAGAGACACTCGTCGACGTCTATGCACATACCAAACCGGGAATTCCACTCGACTCCCTCTCGTGGGCATTTACAGGTCACGTTCCATCGGTTGAGGACAATGTCGTTAAAGTCGGTATTCCGCCAGAGTTCCATCGAACAATCGCGCTGACCGGCAGGATTACCTGCGAGTCAATTGACTTTTATTCCTTTAAAATCTACAGAAACCAGGTGTTTTCAACCTCTCATCTCCCTCTCTCCCATTCTTTCTCTCTCTCTCTCTCCTTTAATTGATTCCAATTTTACATAAGTTTTGTAAATTTTCATCTAAATTTGTACCCGTTTCTCATTAATTTTCAATGAAGGATCAAATTTTAATAGGAGATTGATTGTGTTCAAACAAAAAAAAGCGATATGTGATTTTCCTTCCTTGTCTTGCGGCTTTGTTCGCACAAACAAGTACTTATATGGTCCGATGCTTGTGACGGTGTCAGAAACATAAGCTTTCTTCCTTTTACTACACACAATTTTTCACGGATTACCTTCGAAACAGGGATTATCCTTTCTTTGCTCCCAGCAGGATTTCGTGTCGTTTGTAACCGGCAAAGTACAGCACATATCGGGGCAGAAGCTGTAGAGAGCACACGCGAAAGGCTGCTCATCCTTCGCTCGTGGATCATTATTGTACAAACCAGACAATTGGCCAATACAGTTCGCGGAATTGTCGCATGTTTCGTTAAAATGACGCAAAAATGGTACTTCGTTTAATGTATACCTGTCAAATTACAAAAAGGACATTATCCATAAAACCATTGAGCAGATACACAAGCAATCTCTCAATAATTTAGATACAATTCTAGCTTTATTATTACTTTGCTTTGCAATTTATTTTACCAGCACATATAGTAGGTCGCTGTAACTCTCCACTGATATCTCTCAATTGGTCCTTGAAAGGGTCTCCCGGTGATGTCGTCCCTACTTTTCAGCGCCCTACAGTGCGAATCTATTGCATTAACTTGCTCAGAATAGTTTGACTCGAACCATTTTTGCTGGATTGTGACATAAACTGAATCGTCTTGTCTTTTGAGTCCTAATAGACAATAACGAATAACTTTATGTTTATTTGATAGTTATATTTGATTAGAATTCTTAAATATAGAGTGCGCGCATGTCTGGAAGGAAACGATAGTGACTGTATCAATTTAATCAACTTGAAGAAACCGGCTCCATCAGGGTGACTTTTGAAATCATTAATAATGTAATGGATTGCTCGTGCGGGCCGTGGAAATAAGTGATTGACACGACAAAGCCACCTGTCACGCCTCTCCCTGTTGATTTTCTATTATGTGGAGACAAAATTAAATTTGGAATTTTGGAATTAGTAGTAGTACAATGGAATGGCATTTAAAGCGAAAGTATTTAGCTGAAAAGGCTTAAATCGTAGAACCATGTGGTCATTTTAGAACCATGTAAGCTACTATTACTAGGAATTTATCTGCACCTATAGTTTCAGTCTGTCTGTCTGCCTATATGTTCCAGCCTTTCATCCATCATCTTATTGCTTTCTGAACTATCAATTCAGTACCATGATGTCACAACGTAGATTTCTATTTCTTTTTGAGCAATTATCAAAATTGGTAAGCAGCTAGCTATTTACCTGCGCTTCTGGCTTCCTGCGCCACATATTTTACACAAATTACAAAGGACTCCTCGCAGAATTTTCGTACTTCCCAGTGAAGAGACCGAAGAGGTGGTCTAGGGAACGTCATATGATAGTCTCGAGGACCAGAAGACCCATTTCTGTAATACCTTCTGTCCCATTCGTTAAATTTATGATTTCTCAAAAAGTAGCCAATGTCTCTAACAGCTTCTTCGATCTCTGTGGTGTTAATTTCATCTCTGCCGCTGCTGGAATCTTTGGAAAAAGGATTATCTGTTACTGGAGGAAGAGTCCTTGTCCGTAAGGTTTCCCATTCTTTTTCTTCTTCCGTATCTTCGGTCGATAAGAGATCACCAGCGAATGAACTTTGTATTAACAAAGTTAAGATTATAAAAAGAGACATCATTCTTTTGACAAATTGACACTTTAGGTTGCTAGGGTTTGTTTTATCGATATTGTGTTGTCGTAAAGTGTCAGAGGGTGCAGTATAAGTCTTTAGAGTTGTGAGCAAGTCTGTGTCAAATATGAACAATTGTAACGATCCGAATCCAAAAGAAACAACTTCCAAATATTACCGAACTTGCAATTTGCCGAAAAGATTTGAATATCCTTCATGGTTTCACGGCTATGGTACAGAACGACAGCCCCCTTTACACCCTTGTTATAGAACAACTTCTGGCGACTACGGAAGGTATTTTGTGATTGAATCTTTTTCTAACTAATATCTCAATAGAAGACATGATTCAGAATATTTACTTCTTTGTAAGTTAGCAACGGTTTAGTTGAGTATTTTTTTCAGGTATCCCCCAAACATTCATAGTGTCCCCACGTCATATTACCCTCATGTTTCTGAATTTACAAATTTTTTGTCTCGATTTGGAATGTATAGAAATTACTCGCTGAACACCGGTCTCGAAAAACCCCGAACGATCTAATAAAAAATTAACTAGCCTTTCAACGAATTTTCCAGAGGAAAATCAATGTCCGACATACCGCCACCTGTCTGCATTTTCCGGTGAAAATTTGGTCGTTTACACAACAGGAAAATAATTCTGTTTTACTCTGTAGAATTTACAGTTTTCAACAAATCGTATAAATATAATTTTACTTGCTTGACTGTGTATTGTTACTGTGTAACTTTCTGTAAAATAATTTTCGGAAGCTGAAGAGAGAAAACGCTTTATTGATTGAAAGTAGTGCAGTGAAAATCGAGAAGATGTCGACACAGGCAAGAAAATTCTCCTGAATTACACATTTATTATAAAAAACTAAGTATTAATCAAAAATTTGAATATAACACTAAATCATAAACATGAAATTATTTATTTTAATAATTTCAGTCAAAAAACTTTATTAGTTTACGTGTAAAATAATGGTATGTTACGATGTATAATAGGTATATTTTAATTTCAACAAAGTTAATACCTAACTTGTAAAATTTTAATTACATTTCATAATTAATTAAATTCCCGCTTCAAGGCTGCTTTCTTGTTAGGAAATTTAAATACCTACTTGGTATTAATTAAATGTATTTTAGTGGTAAGACATGCCATAAATTTCTTCTTTTTCTTTCCTTCAACTCGATGTTGTAACTGAAAAGTTCCCGACTGATCCTGAAATGTTTGTGGAGCGGAAGTAAAGTCTTGTTCTTAAACGTTGTCGCCATTAGGTACTGTTGGAAAAGTTTAAAGTTTTCCAACTTTGCGATCAGTTTATCTATACTGCCATGGTTTTCAGTAATGCATACTGTTGGTAGTACAAATACTTTTGTAACCGATCAAAAGTAGGTATGAACTAACTTTATACGTTAGAATATCGCAAACTCCTTATCGCATCTTTGAATAGAATTTAGATTGATAACAAACTCACAATGTTGAGGCGTAAAAAGTGTAAATAATTGGGTAATAATTTTTCAAATGTTTACCGTTAAAAATTAGTGAGTCATTCGAGGGTGAGTTATGATTATGACCCACCCGAAATAAGAAACATTTGTTGCGTGCAAGTCTGATGTTATCGATATTAAACACAGCTGACTCACAATAATTAGTAACACTATACGTCCCTTTGTTTATCATCTTTTACGATGTGAATCATGATGGGGATGTTGTGAGTAGGTGACAGAAGTTCAAGCTAAGTGAATGGACTCGGATTAGTCACTTGTTTGCAACTGTTTTAAAAAGTTTTGACTAAAAACTAACTTCGTTATGACACTATGATCGTCCTATATTTTAAAGAATCAAAGCGCGCTGATGTTGGAAAAGTTATAAAACACTTCCGGCCCGAAAATTACGATCTCATCAAAAGTGTTATAAAGTTGCAATTTTTGTTGATAACTTCTATCGAACAACCAATTACCTACGGCATTCGTTTCGGAAGAAGGTGAGCGTACACAAAAGACGCGAGGAGATTCGAAGGAACAAAGAGATCGTTTCTTAAAAAAAAGAGGAAAGGAATAAAGGAAGAACGAGTGCTTACTTCTCAACAGTACGCATTATAACTTCTCCGGCTTCACGCTTCAGCGTATATAAAGTCGTAAACAAAACGGATTGGTTCCGTCATCGAGCGCCCTTATGTTCTTAAATGAAAAAAATTTGCATAAGCCAACGGGGATTCGAAAACGACGATATCCAGCTGGTTCCCTACATCCAAGATTCGACCCCCTTATTTCACTTGATTACTTCTACTACGCTACACGATTCAACGGCGTTAACTTTTCTTATAATTTTTTTTTATAAATATTCTCATAAATTTCAGTTGAAAGAACATCGTTTATGTTTTGAAATTTACAATGGAACGCAAGTCTCGGATTGGATAACAAAGTGGCGATAATCCAATTTGGGGTATTGGAACATGAAGTTACTGGGGAAACAGTTTCAACAAAATAAGTTCAGCATTTGTTTTGTTTTACACAAATAGCAATCTCTATACACTCATCAGGAGTAAATAATGCACTAACTGTTTAATTTAATTATTTAGAATATTTGTTACGATAATTCTAGTTAATCCTAGAGTAATCCTGTCATCATGTAACTTTCAATTATGTGAAACTAAACCTTTTATCATCTACAGATTGTCCCAAATTAATGCGGAAAAGCTGTAGTTGCTTTACGTACACGCATGGAATCGAACCCAGGACCCCTTGTTTTACGCACCAGCACACACCTCTCTAAGCTAGGAGAGGTGATAGTAGCCAGAACTATGATAGGTACACTTAAGGTGTCACAATTATCGTCGGAACTAACTCTACACAATTATCAACATAAATGTACAAAATGTTCTTGAAGAGGTTAATATTCAAGATTAACAAATTAACATTCTATGTTCCACAGATTACCCCAAATTAATGGGGTAAAATTGTTGCTGTGTGAGGGGTCTGGATTCGATTCCCGATGAGGGTGAATTTGTTTTTCTTTTTCTTCTCTTATCGTACAAAATTTCAAGTAGGAACCTATTTTAACTCTGAGTATTGTTTGAAAATCACTTTTGACCCCAACCAAATGTTGCGACCGTTGAGACGAGGGGTTACAATGGAGTCAGTTCGTAGTCGGTAGTGGGGAAGACAAAAAGCGAAATGCCGACAAATCTACGACCAAATTATACAACAAAGGCAGCACATTCGTCTACGCTGCAGGTTAATTTAAATCCCGGTGTTTTGTCAGATAACAAGTGGTGCCTATTGTTAGCCGGCAGGGCTCGGCCTGTGTTTACACTTATTAAGGAACCCCCTCGCCGACTTGGAATGTTCAGCGGCGTTCCACACTTTCAAATTAATATTGTCATGATGCAGTTATCTATGGGTAGGAGGTGGTTTTATTTCCTTGAATAAGCGCTAAGAGAAATATGGTAATCTTGTTCATTATGTATTGGTTTTAACCAAGAATAAGTATTTAAAACAGAGAATCTCTAAATCTACTGATTTGGGAGTGGAGCGAACATTATTTGTCAGTTAAAACAGTTGCTAGGGCGCCTTTTGAGACATTAACGGTCAATTGGAGACATATTAGACGCAGGACATGATTAAAGAGGAGCATAGGTAGCCCTGGATTAGATTACTATCCGTAGATAGTACGTGTTGATTGAAAATGCGAAGATTCGCTCAAAATAGAGAAGAGTGAAGATGCGTGTCCAACCGATCTTGTAACTGATGTGACGACCCCACGATGATCCTCTGTTTTTTTAGGTTCTGTGAAGATAATAGGAAAAACTTCGTCGAAAACTTGTTAAACGTTAAAACAGTCAATTTTCCTTCAAGCATAGAAAAGTCTAGAATGTTTGTTCAAATTTGGACTTCATCATTTTAGAAATGATTTGGTCCTTTGTCCACAAAAGGTAGAAGAGAAGTGTGATTTCAAGGAACTAATGTATTTACTTGTATGGTCATTTCATATCGGCCCAAAGAACATGGTTCTAATGAATTTTAGAAAAAGTCTGGACTACTTCGAAATTCTGTACATAAGAGGGTATTTTCATCTCATTGAGCTGAACTTGTATCTGGTCGATTCTCTGATATGAATACTCATAGTAGAATGGAACCCATTTACAGGGACAAGCTTCCTTCTTTTTTCTTAAAGCTTACGAAAGTTGGTTATCTTTAGCAATCGTCATGTTCGTTCCCAAAAAGGATAAAAGAAATCCCCACGACTGGATTTTATGGTCACCGAAACCCCAATGTGTAATGATTTTGATAGTGTGCAATTGAGGCCATCATTAATAAATTGACAGTTGGATCTGCAATGCAGCCTTAAATTGGGCAGCTACAACAATCGAAATTATCCGTTTGTCCCTGCCTGTCGTCGAGCATAGTAAATCATAGTCAACACGGTTGTACCAATGTCGTCAGGACTAATAATAATTCTGTTGTTTGGAATATGACATTTGGTCGATTTTCATTAAGAGGATTAGACTTGCAAATTGTATAGCAAATTGATCGACATAAATGCGCATTCGACGTGTCTCACTCTACGTCTGGCACTCTCTCTCTCTCTCTTTCTCTTCCTTGCGAGGCCAACGAACAACGACTACTTGGGGATTATCGCGGAAGCGGTTGTAATTTAGAGCCGCTCCAGAGAAATGTACAGTTGGAGATGATTATTAGAAGGGTTCGAGGGTTCGTACGTTCAAATATAAACATACACATATATATGTAGCTGGCGCTGGTGGTGTTGAATGTAGCGGTTGGTCGTAGGAAGCGGGTATCGGTTCCGTTATTGCTTTGTTTCGCCTCCGAGTCGGTTTCATTATTAAGGTAATAAACTCGAGGTGTTTTGATTCATGGCCGCGAAAGAAAACCAAAAGCATTTTATCAAACAAACGATCATACGTCTTTGTATAATTTTATGGAGTAGGTACTGTCTCCCTTTGTCAAACGTGATTAATTGCAAATACAAAAGCACCACAAACACCATACATAGAAAAGCAGGATTTGGATCATTTGTTATTGCTGCACAGGAATTCTTTACCAAAAAGACCTCTTAAATACTGAGCTTATTGGAGCCAGTCAGAATGATGACATTATCCAATTACAGATTTAATTTTTTTAAAGGTAAAAAGCTTCTCACTTTATAAGATTCGGATTGATAGACGATTGTGATTGAGATCTATTGAAGACGCAATTGTATTTGATAGACGCCATTTACAAATTTTGTAACCTTCAAGTCCAGAGCCGTTAAAGGAAGACGTATATTTTTTCGGCAAGGCTTATCGCACCAGGATCAAAGCTCGTGTGCGACATTATTTAAAAGAATTGCTCTCATACCTCGTTTGCACGCACTTCTTCAACACATGTTCTCCTCATCCAGTCGAAAATGCTTCCAAGATCGAGGTTGTGATATGCCAGACGTAATGGACTGTTAAGTAGGTACCTTTCTCGTTCTATTCCTAAAAGCAGCGCTTGTTTATTATCCCTACATTTACACACAGGTATAATGTTTAGTAGGTAAAATTGTTTGCTTTCATTTGAAAAAGAATAAAACGATATCACTTATCAAAACAAATGACGACGATGACATTAGCGATTCGAAGAATTCCTTGCTGTTTCCTATTTTCGATTAGGTTTGATTTAGGAATAATAAATAATTAATAAATCTACAAAGTTACGCGGATGTACTTGCAGA